AGCAGGTACATGCATTTTTCCCAAGATCACCATATTTGTCTTCCCAACCTCTAGCTACTGGTTTGGTTTTATTGCTTGAGTGTTGCACGTTTGCCTTTGTTCTTGGAGAGCTGGACAAGGTCCAAGACTAATTAAACCCACTGGGAACCTTCATTTACTTCCATATCCAGATCCTCTCAACAAATGTTTGACTCAAACTCCATCACATTAGAATTGTTTCTGCTATATAACCACATGGATGGGAAACAGTTAATGATTTGCAATGAAGAAGGTTTTAAATTTTGCAACTTCTTGTTTGTTTTAAATTATTTTAGTTGTTTGGGTGGGTTTTTTTCCCACAATGAGACATTATTGAGTCCATGAAATCCATTCTTCAGAATTGTATCACAAATTCAAGATCACAATTGTTCAATGCATTATTGGGCATGGAGTACTTTTCTGTTGCAGGCAATACACTGCAATAAGCAGTCAGCTCAGATACAGAAGGTCACGTTATGATGCATCTTGCAAGTCACATATTAAATCTAGTCTCTGAACAAAACCTCATAACTTTCTCCTTTGTCCTCCTTTGTGAATGTTCATAGAATAACCTTGGTATTTCCTTGCTGTTGCCATCTTGGTATTGAAACTTATGTGGTTGTTCAGGGAGAGGATATATAAGAAGTATACATCATTTATATATTATATATATAATATATAATATAATGCATATATGCATTAGAAATGACGACCAGAATTTGAAGTAAATTTTTCTCATTAGTTTCCAAGCAGGAAAATCAATGATTTTATAAAATTATTTAAGTGTGCAACACTCACCTCTTTATCTCCTGTATAAATGATCCAAATGTTTCAGGCAATGCTTAAACAGACACTAATTATTTTTAGCTTTGATACTTGAAGTCATACAGAGCTATGATGTCTACAGATTTCACCTCAAAACAATTGAAGATTTTGCTATTTTCATATATAAATGGCATGTTTGCTTTTAAATCATCCACAACTGAGAGAAAGCGGTCTGCTTTCTTTTATGAAGAGTGCTCTTTCACTGGTGAATTTGGAGAAGAGAGATGGCAAAGGAAGCGGTCTGTGGCCCAAAGCACCTGAGTGACAAAGCTGTAAGACAGCTCAAGAACTCCTGGTTTCTAAATGCTTATTCAGGCTTACACTACACTTAACTGCTGCTGCTGAGCTTTATATGCTTTACAGTCTGCTATACATTCAGCTTCCATGCACACCTCAGTACTGAGATGGAAGCACATTTCTTAAGCAGTTAAAAAGAACAGGAATCAAACATCAGAGCAGACAGACTTGTTATAATACCATTACTTTGCAAAAAAATATAGATCCATACTTTTACCTCACCTTTTTCATTTATTTATATGGAATAAAATCTGACATGAAGAGAATCCATCCTCCAGAGAAGTGTCATTCTGACCCGTCTGTAATGCACAGGCTACTGAAAGTAGATTGGTGTATCAGCAGTTAGAAAAAACAGATATATTCAGTAATCAATGTTATAGACACCATCTATTTTTAGTACCTTAATGCTTTCAGATGATGAAATACCTTCTGTGTTACAACAAAAAGGCTAGGCTTCTGTTTGTTAACTTCATATGATCAGTACTTAAACTATGGGTAACATTTAATCTGGAAATCAACTTGTGGCTAGCTTGAGAAACACCATAGGATGGAATTCTTTTAGCCCTCAGTGCCCTGTTCTCTGTTTCTGGGATAGGGCACAGGGATTTGCTCTCCCCAGGAAAACCTTTTACAATACAGTAAGGGAACTGTAGGAAACCCAGAAGACAGCTATTTTAGACACACACAGAGTAAAAAATGCACTATCTTAGTGTGAAACAGGCCTGAGTCACCTCTTGTGGTTTCCAGTGAGCTCACAAAGAATTCCATGTGGGCATCTAAGGGTAGAATTTGGTCCACAGTGTTGAGAAAACAGCTCTGATAATGATTTCAGCATGAGCAGAAGCATATGGAGTTCAAAGAATGCATTCAAACAAGCCAGGCTGAACAAAATGTCCATAATTTACTGCAGACTTTTCTGCAGAGAGTTATTGCATGGAAAACATAAAGATGGAAGCGGTGAACAGAAGCTTTAATAATAGACATTAGTGAACATCATCAGTATAAATTCTTTTTTATCTGCTAGGAACAGGGCTGTGTTTACATACAGAGAGAGCAAGCAGATAACTGGGGCTCCTCACCGTATAAAGCTCCATCATGGATGCTGCTGCTGGCTCTTTTGGTTTTGCTTTTCCTCTCCATCATCGTTGATCATCTCAGTGGCAAACTGGAACTACTTGTTTCAGGGATCCAGTTGTCTCCCGTTTGCCACCCAGCTCAGGGATGGAACAAGTGAGACAGGTTTGAGGGAAGTGGGGTCTGGTAAAGTTTACCAAAAACGTACCAAAGTTAAAGTGCTTCGGTCTCCTCGGGAATGGTGTGAATGATGAACTGGTTTTCTAACAGCCTCCTTGTGCTTCTCATTCCTCCCCTCTGGAGTTTGGGGAAGGAAGCTGATAAATTGAGAGTCTATTCTAGCTGTATACATAGAAAACACAACATCAGCACATAACCTTGTCCACACTGGGTCAGACCAAGGGTGCTTCTAGTGTGGAATCCTTCTTCAGCAGTCAATAAATTAACATGAATATATGGGGCAAAATCCTTTCCTCCTTTTGCCTGTGTGGAGATGCAGAGTGCATGCCCTGAACAGAGCCCCAGGGCCTGTCCAAAGCAGAGCCAGAATCAAACACCGTAAAGTCCCCATGTCTTTTCCTAAGTCCAGAAGACAGACCCATGCTGCTTCATCTGTTGCTGTCAGGAATTATTTATTCAGAATGTTTACTGGAGCAAAAATGAGGCTAAATATTTTATATAGATATGCATATTATACATACCTCTATGTATTTGCAATTGATAGTAGTTTTCCACCTTCATTTAACTTTTGCTGCCAATAACACTCCTTAAGTGAGTGCTGCCTTTCTCCTTGGCTAGTTAGTGCAAATTAGTTTCCCTTTAATTTTCAAATTGGCAAGTACCAGCTTAAGGTAGATGCTTCCAGCTCTTCTCTATTTCCTTTGGGAACAAGTACAGCACAAAGCCTGCCTGAGACTCTCCATGTCCTGCACAGCCCTAGCTGAGGAGCGCAGGGGTTATTCACAACCACCTCTTCCATCTGTTTTTCATTGCACAGCTCTCAAAAGCAGGCTCTGGAAAACTGGGAAAATTCACAGGCCATGCCTGAAGAGAACGGGGAAAATAATCCCTTCTTTTGCATCAGTGCACACACCACCTGTGTGCTCCCCGTTCCAAATCCTGTCCCTGATACCGCTGTGCGGGCTTTGTCTGCAGCACTGCCCCCATTCAGAATGACTGCAGCCTCCACTTACCCTGCGCAGCACATACATCCTTAGGAGGGTGCAGCTCTGGGGTCTCAGTCAGGAGCACTGATTTGCCAGGAGCTCAGCCAGGCTGCAGAAGGCGGGCATCTCTTTCCTGCTCCACACTTGCTCCCCTTTTCCCACTCACTGAGTCCTGGCCAGGGAAGGACTAAGCAGAACATTGGTTTAGACAACAGAGGCTTTTCCCTATATGCCAAGAGAGGCAAAGGCAAAGGCTGAGATCTGTCTTCTGGTAGTAAACAAACAGCCAGCATCAGCCGCTTCCACAAGTCCCACTGCTACAGGAGGAGGTCTTGTGTCTGGGTACCAGCTTGGGGCAGGTGAAAGATGGGGCACAGAAACCACATGACTGCTCTTAAGGGAGCTACCTACACACTTTATTGCTTAGAAAATACTGGACTGGAAAAAACTTGGATGCTCAGATCACCCCGGAGTTACCTACAGGCTAGTTCTGGGTACAAAGAAAGAACTGATTTCTAATATGAGTTATCTATCTGAAGAGGGCATTCCTTGGGGCTTTCACAGTATTCCACACAAAAATATGGGCAAAGAACCCCAGCCAGATTCATCTAGTGATAACACTACTTAGCTTTGACATTGCCTAGCAGGAATCTTCATTACAAGCAAGATAAATTGTGTTCCCGTTTTTCAGTATTTAATCATAGAATCATAGAATGGTTTGGGTTGTAAAGGACCTTAAAAACATCTAGTTCCAACCCCTCTGACACCTCCCCCTAAATGAGGTTGCTCATGGCTCTGCCCACCCTGGCCTTGAACACTACCATGGATGGAGCATGATCCATGTCTTCAGAGAGGTGTCCTGAGGCTCAGCTCAAAATTATTAGCTTGGAATGCACACAGAATTACACCCAAAGAAGGCATTAGCTCAGGTATGAAAAGCTCTGAAGATGTGGAGACCATTACCAGGATTTATTCATCACCTTGCCTACCCAAAGACAGCACCACGCTAACACAATTGCACCATTTCTCTTACAGAGAGGATTTGGCTGTGCATCTTTGCAGCCTACCACTTGCTGTGGTATACACCACTGTGTATAAATGCCATGTGCAGCAGCACTGCACCAAGAGAAAAGAAGACACAGCTTGGTTTCAAAGGGTCAGAAAAACTGTCTTGGCTCTGCAGCAAAACAGTGCTGGAAGTGCTGCTGGGAAAGCAGACTTTCTGCTTTTAAATCCTTCTGTAAAGACACAGTTTTGTCTGGTAAGTAGAGGCTCCAGTGGTTTCTGAATGTAAATTAACTTTATGAGCAATAATAAATTAAAACTATCTTTCTTCATGCCATCCAGCAGTTGTAAGGAGCTTTATCACAACCACCAAGTACAGAGTCCTTAGAAAAGCTCTCAAAAATCATTGCAGGACTTTCAATTTCAAATAAGAGTGAGTTCGATTTTACACTTCAGCAAATAAGAAAGCATTCATAAATTTAGACCAGGGACAAGATTTCTTTATTTTTGTATTCAAAATAGCATTTTTTTCCCTGTGGATTTTCCACCTAATTAAAGATATTTGTTGATGCATAAGCACTATCATTTGTCAAATAAGCAACAAAGCACACCAAATACTATAATGCATCTTGCCCTTTTATTGTATTGTGTTATAGACAAAGATGAGTGCATACAGAATAATCACTGCCATCGCGACCGTAAAGTTGCAGTGTCACTCTGATCCCTTTGGGAGTCAGAGAACATCCACTTGTCATTCATTCCACCTTTTAGTGTAACAAGCTGCATAGAACAAAACTTCACCTATTTCTCTAAATAAAAACATAGCCAAACCCCCAATGCTTCTTAACAGGGCTTTGCAAGATTATTTAAGGTACCAGCAGAATAAGCATGCACAGTAGCAATACAAAACTATAGACATGCTGTTCCTGAAAAGGTTGAGCTGTGCTGGAAAATTCACAGGTTCAATGCTGGAGCTCCTGCAAAAAGCCACCTCAAAATCTGTGCATTACTTTGGTTCAAGTGCAGGTGGGAGTAAAGTAATCTATGGTTGGTGTTTTGCAAAGGAGTGGTGTTAAACCTACTGTAGAATAAAATATGGTCTATGATAAGAACCTCTATTGATTCTCACTAGTCAGTTACCAGTGCCATGGTGGAGTGAAATGCTACTAGGAGCACTGTGTTGCTGTTGGCACATGACTGAACACATATTCAGCAAGTCATGCTGCTTCTCTTTTATACAAACTAGGTCCTGATGACCTATAAAGGGTTTTAATATAATACCACAAAGGACAAAGCAAATTCCCTACTTGAAATGCAGGTGCAAGGAAGCTTTTCCTTGCTGAGAACCATACGCCTTTCAAACAACTTTGGCATTCTAAATGGTAATAACCTGCCTTGTGTTAGTGAGTATGACTGCACACAAAACAGTGACTTGGCAGTGGGTCATGATTCCTTATTTCCCTATGCCTAATGTAGTAGATGAAATGGGAGGGAAGTGGTTTGGAAACATACAGAGAGGTAAGTTATTTACCATAACTTACTGAGCAGCCTGACAGCAAAATTGCCACTAATGGGAAGACACGTGTCAGTAAGAATGGTAAAATTACTTTAAAACCAATGTTGCTGATACTGCTCCCATGCTCTTGTTTGTATAAAGGTGTCTAGCTTGTACCTGGATGCTCTAGCTGATATACAAGTCTCTATCAATTATACTTTGGAGATTACATTTTAAGCCCTATGAAAAGTTTATTATTACCTGCACGAACTTTCCACTGGGCACATTTCTGCCCTTCTCCCCCCAAAATAAAGAAAAAAGTAGAACAATAAGAAAGGATTTGTTATTCTTTCTCAAAGAGTAACAAGGCACAACCTTGTTGTTACTACTACTACTACTACTACGCTGCCTACATTGTTTTGTCCTCTCTTGTCTCACGTTGACTGCAGGAGGAGTATTAATAGTATCAGCACTGTAACTCACTGCTACAGAGTGTAAAGTGCATGCAAGAACTATGGACTATTTTGGTAGAAGTTAAATATTCTCGAAACATGATTTGCAAGAGACTCTTGGGCATGCAGGCGTTCCACAGGCTCTCTGCCAAAGCTCTCTGTAAGGGCCAGTTTGAGTGGTTCAATCCAGTATGTGATTTGCCTAATGAAAGACACTTCTCCAGCAGATTTTGGCAGATGCAATCAGTTCAATTGCCAGGCAGTATTCATGCGATTACAAATGTTACTGATCACATTAGAGACTTAATAAATCTCTCCAAAAAGATCACAGCTACTGCGTGGCTCTGAAGAAACTGAAATTGTGATACAGATTACTGTGTTTGCTGTTCACTGGACTATTGACACAGTTGGGAACAAATACCTTCCTTGGACTGCCAAGCACTGAGTGGCAACTGTTAATTTCTAAATAGAGCCATGACTGCTTGTTTGTAAATGTTTAGCTTTGCCTCGGTGCAGAGTCACTTCCTTTCCATGTCAGGGACATGTTCTATGACAAGACATAAAAGAGTTTGATTCCACTGACTTTCATGGGTCTATGGCAATTCACATGTGCTGAGGGGTTGGCCTGACAGTCCAAGGACGATTTTTGGCTTGAAATATGAGAAAAGCAAGGTGCTATCCTTGCATAAAACCCATGAGTGAGACTTTGGCACTGTTTCTTCCATTGCCATTTCAGCAGATGCAATAGCGCACACAGTAATGATAAAACACATCAAAGCAAAAATGATGTAACTGAGCTGTACCTGTTGGGATAAAAGTGCTTTTCCTTGCAGTGTGGCACAACTTGCACTCTGTGTCTTCCTGTAATCTATTGAACAGCGTTTTAAAAACTAGTAAGTGTTCATTGGCCAACTCTCAGTGGTCAATTCAGTGTATTGCATGAAAGCAGTCACACAGGCCTCTCTTTTCCGCTCTCAGGAGGAGGGTTTCTGCCTGCAAAAAACCACATGAAACCAAAGAAAGAAATATATCACTTTCAAAGACTGTATAATTGATTATTCCTAATCCCTCTGCACAGCTGTAGCCAAGGTGCTTTGCCGAGTGAAAAATCACAGTTATTAGTGCTGGTTCCCATCCAGAAAAAGTGATGAAATAAGGATACTCAGCACCAAGATGCATGGAGAGTATTTTTACAGTTTAAATGTTTCCATTTTCACAGTTCACTTCTAGGGAGGAGGCTGTCAGAATTATTAAAGTGTCCTTTATAAATGCTGAGAAAAATTCCACTTTCAACTGCACTGCTGTTAATTCCTTTGCCGTGATTGATGGCCTTCTGTTGACAGTGTCTTTAGTACTGCAGAGCATAACTGCACCATACAGCATGTGCTGGGGAGCCAGTTGTGCTCTCAGTTACACTGCTGTCTCTCTAGAATAACTGGTTCAGTTCAGCTGTCAGTTTAACCTTGTTGTCTGCAACTCATCATCTCTCAGGGCAGATCTAGACTTGACTTTGGGGCTCTTCTCTTTAACCTGAGTTAATTTACTGAGAATTGCCTTCTTATCAACTCCACTTGGAGCCATGCCCCCAGAACTCCATCAAAAGCTTAAAAGCCATTCTCTATATGCATCATGTAAAACTACTTGCTCTTGGTTTTGGAACGCTTGAGTGGAAAAGCATTTCCAAGCTTTATTCCTCTGTTTTCAGGCAAAAAAAACCCCAAACTTCAGATCCTCAAAGATATTTAAGTATAATATATTTAATTGCGATCAAATAACTTGAATGTTTTGTGGGTGCTGGCCTCATGTTTTGAGAAACAAAGGCTGAATTTTGCAAATAGCACCATCATTTCAGAAACTGAGTCTCCTGTAAGTCTCAAAATACAATTGTTGGTGCAAGAAACTCATACTAGCAAGTGCAGTTGAGACTGAAGAGAAATTTCTTCCTGAGCTTATCTTGTGGTTTTCACCCTGTGGTCTGTGGTCCCTTAAGCAACTTGCAGACTGGCTTTGAAGAGCTTTTTGAGGGGGTAAAAAATGTTATCAGGCTTAAATGAACCACGAATGGGTTTCCCATCTGCACTGGGAAAAAAACCCTGAAGTTTGAAAACCACTTGTTAACAAATTAACTCAAAGCTCTGTGAAACAGCAGGATCTTCAGCCTGCTGGTGTTCCCCTGACATGGCACCTCCTTTCCAAAGGACTCACTTTCCAAAGGAGTGGATGGGCACTTCTTCATGGGGAACTGCTCCACCAAGCTCTGCCTTGCTTGGCCACCAGTACCTCTGTCTCCCATCAGTTCTCATTCTCTACTGATTTCTTGTTCTCAGACTGCAGGCTTTTGCAGGGAGAGGCTGATTCAGAAGTGCTTTTGCCTCCCCTCCACAGCACTCTATCCTTTTCAACTCAAACTTTTGACATTCACTTTCACATTAAGGAGGACTCGTTCACTTTCCTTGCCTGCTTTCACTTATCAGCTTAGTGCAGTGGCAGGTGTTATTAAGCACTGCTCCTCACTTCTACAATGAAATCTTGGATGAGTGAACGCTCTCATTGTTGGGAACCCAGTAGAAATCACAGAATCATCTTAACATCAAACAGGCTTATTGGATTTCACTGTAATGCCAACAAGCTGTCACTGTCACCACAAACCCTGCCTGGGTGTCACTCACGGCTATTCACAGGCAGGAAGAGCAGTTCTGAGAGCACTCAATTGTAAACTGAAGGACTATGAAAGAGAAGCATCAATTACAAAAACTAATTGCAGCCCTGTTGGCATTGGCTTAGGAAGTCCCTGATAGGAGCAGTCCTGCATGGGGCTTGCTCTTGTAGCAGCAACTCTCAAAGCTCAGGAGTTGCTGAATGAAGTTATTTGTGTGTAAAACTTGCATAGTTTTCACCATGATCCAAGCACCAGCTGTTGAGTAAGGATATGGAGTCTCTACTTTTCAGAGTACAGAAGGCCACAGTGTGCCATTTGTAGGGCCTTGGCCACTGCATTTCACTTTAGTATCAATACATCATTCAGTAATTTGCATTTAACTAAAGCATCTCTTCCAGAAAGGCCTTTACAGTCCCAGTCCAAAAGGAAAAGGTGCACAGTAACATACTTTTTCTTTATTAGTAGTATTGAATTCTGACAGTTGTCAAAGGGTAGGTGATGTTGTAGCTAACTGGTTATGTTCGGTTTGGTGATGCACTGTTCCTGGGCCCCTTGTTCTGTAATACTGAGAGCTCTCTGAAACATGCCTGTCCAGATCCTCACAGAGACACAAACTTACCTCACTTGCCCTGGAACCAGCTTCTCCCTTTACATTCTGCCTCATCTCTTACAAGACAGCTTTGTTCCCTGATGGACTGTATTCTCTGCTCTTCAAATAGCCAAAACAGATACACCTGAATAGGTCTGTAAGTGGGATTAAGGAATTGTGCTGCCTCCTTTGTACTCAAAAAAGTCTTTCCAGTGCAGCTTAGATGGAAATTTAGTACCTCCTTCAGCTTCCCATGTGAAGCCTGGTGAAGCACCAACACAGCTGTGATTGATTGCACATAGCCTTGCTATGCCATGTATAGATACAAAGCATTTCACTGAACCTAATCCAAACAGGTAAAACCCTGCTATGCACCAGAGCAGCCCAGCACAGCTGCTGGAGTTAAGGCCTCACTATTCACACCCCACTGCTTAAGAGTTATTTAGTATTATGCTAGTGCATGGGAAACCTTTGCAATGTAACCTGTACTGCACTCAGAGCTCAGTCCTAATCAGTTTGCTATTGATAGCTCATGAAAGCTAAAGTCATTCCAGCCTTACAGTGTACATGATTGCCCAAGGTCACAAGAAACCAAAGGCAAAGCAACATAATTGCCCTTCTGTGTTACAGTTTGAGACATGTAATTGATTTACATCTCTTTGGTTGACTCCACTGTGAATGACAATTGGAGTGGAGCATGGAGCCTTTCTCACCTACCAACAGGGATGGCACTGGTCAAAGGCACTGAGCAGGCACCCAAGAACTGGGAGATGGAGCTATGAACTGGTTTCATGTACCACAACTTGCTTTACTGTCATGTGCCAGTGTTAAAGGAGCTGTTAGGGAAGGAGAGGTAGGACAAGACATACACAAGGGGCTTTGTTAGAGGTGAGAGACCTCCTGCCTCTTGCAGACTTCAGACAGCATGGAAACCACTGTGGTAAGCCCTACCCCAGGCAGTGCTTGTGCATATGCATGAACCTGCATAAATATGCATTGCTAAAATCAGGGCATTTAACACACCCTCATGGTTTGTTCATTGGGACCTCTGCAGCGCAAGACTGACATTAAGTTGTAAAATGCCCTGTGTGCTGTGATAACACCTGAGCAAATGTGCTTCCCCCTCTCTCATGGAATATTGATCCATGAGCAAGAAATACATGCACATCCCCTTCCTCTCTGCCAGCCCTGTCTGCCACTTTCTTGCTCTCCTCTTCCCTTTCAGCTTGTGAACAGTCACTCCGAAGCTGGGGAGCAGTGCTGTGGGGTAAAGAGCAAATCAGCTTTCTTGTTCTTCTCTCCTTCATACATCTTTCCTTCTCTATTTGATGCAGGGACTGTCTGGGCTAATTCTTTAGCCTGTTATGCAAGAAGTCAGTCAGACTAGATGATCTTTAATGAACCTCTCAAGCCTGTGAAAAATAATCTGTACTTCGTACAATCCTATTTGCTGAAATGGAAGTGAGTCAGCAGAGATGTCCCATCTGCTGTACCCAGACAGGCAGACCTGGCCACTTGGAGATAAAGGCTAAGGAAAAGCATTTCTATAGAAACACATACCCGTGTGTCTAGGTTGTACGCCGTCTTCTTTAAGTCCTGCAACGCCCTCTGCATGAACTCGAATGCATGGCAGTCAACACAGGGACGACCTGGATAAAGGAAGAGAAGGATACATCATAGTCACAGCACAGAATCTGGGCTGTAGCAGTACAGAGGGGGAATACTTAAAGACCCTAAAATGCCAAGAGAAATCCCATTTTACCAGGCACCCACACCCGCACATCCACAACGTTAAGGCTGCCTGTGGACAGGACTGTGTGTACCCTTGGGCAAATGTGTGAGGACTGGCAAAAACACAACAGTATTTTGTTATGTGTGAGTTTGTGAACATAACCCAGGCTTGATCCTGCCCAGTGCTGTGTGCCCTCAGCCCCCAGCATCTGCCCTTAAGACTGGAACCCTCACCCTCCTCAGATGTGTTAAATCTCAACTGATACTCTGAAAATAGCAGTTTGCAGTGGTTCAGGAAATCAGACAGGCAGGTCTGTTTCTACAGGAGCTCTTACAGAGCAGCTTGGCAAGGGACACTGCCAGATCTGTATTTGCTTCCTTTCACCTGCTGCTGTATTTTCTCTCTGCCAGGAATGCAAAGCATCCCACTGGCTCTGCAGCTGGTGCCAGTGTGTGTGCACAGAGGGGCAGTGCAGGGAAAAGGCAGAGGAGGAGACAAAGAGGGGGGGCCTTGACAGTAACTACAATGGTTGACTTCTGGAGCTGGGTTTTTCTGACCTGACAGGACTCACCCTGCACTGACCTCAGGCCCTTTTGTTCACTCTGTAATACAGTTTCCTGGGCTGTCCTACTTGGTGGAGGGTCCTTCTGCAGGCACAGCTCTCCCTGGATCAGGTCAGCACCCCTGCCTGCTGGGAGCTGTGCAGTGGGAGAGCTCGTTCCTCCATCCAGCTATATCCCAGGATGGGATGTATCAGCAGCACAGAGAAGCAGCACCACTGGCAGGGGGTTGGAAGATGACCTTGAGGTCCTTTCCAACCCAAACCATTCTATGACCCTATGAGACAACAGATGTACCTGGGAGGAGGTGACAAGCAGCTGGGGAGGTGGCTGCCAGGAAACTTCCACCCATGCAGCCCTACAGAGCACACACCAGCTCAGCACTTAGGGGACAGAACTAGGGCAGGGCTGATCTCTCAAGCATCTTGCACTAGAGCAACATGAATGCAGCTCCCCAAATAAAATAGGGTGCAATGCCCCACTACCTGGAAAGCCTATAGCTAGCGTCAGACTTCTGCAAGCAGAGCTGCCTGAGTCTTGGCTCTAAGATGGGTTTTAAACTATTATACTAGCCAGAATCTTACAGTACCCCACTGCAGATACTTACGGAAGGTACAAGAATAAGCCTCTAGCAATGTCCTTTTAGCCTACCCAGAGGCTGCAGGATATCCTGTGCCTGGCTGGTGTTTCTATATCTGATAAGCCCTCCACGATTTTTTTCTCACATTAATTTGCCCTGTGGCTTCCTGAGTCCATGTAAACTTTTGGCATCTTCAGCATCCTGTGGCAATGAGTTCCACAGCTGAGCTATTCAGTGAGAGAACAAAATAACATTCCTGTCCACTCCGAGGTTAACATCTGCTGCTTTCATTTCCTGCCTCTCATTTTTGCAGTGGAAGGGACAGTTCTTAAATATTCACCATCTTTGTCCTACTTATGACTTTCCTGCTCTCCATCACTCCCTGCCTTGGTATCTTCTTTGCAGACACAAGCGCTGGGCTGTTAAACTGGCCTTAATCTTCCACCCCGGGGAGACCCCTCTCAGCTGGACTTAATCTCCCTTCGTGCTCGCAGTACTTTCAGTAGGATGCCTGTGGACATTTCCCAGGTGTAATGATGCCTAAGGGTCTCTTTAGGTTTTAAACACATCTAAATCTGTGCTGTTACAAATAGGAGCAATCCCACCCTGCTTTCTGCTCTTTCCTATGTGCTCTCACACTTCCCCTCGCTCACAGCAGGACTGACCATGCAGTTGCTGGTGCATCAGTTGCACTGGTGTTTTCTCTCAAGATAAGATCCTGATCTCCAAGTTCTGGGGCCAGAATAAGAAATAGGACAAGGGCAGGAGGCCAGGTTAAGGGGAGTAGAAGGGCAGAGGCCGCACAGGCTTACATCAGCTTAAAGTAATCATGAAACCAAACCTTAAGTCACATCCTAGCAAAGTACAGCAGAGTGCTATTAATTCCTTGCTGACAGCTGAGAGCAGACTATCATTCATAGAGAGACTTAACAGGTTTGTGGATTAACATAATGAGAATTATCAAGAGTCAGCTATAATTCTTTAAATGGGTCCTGTCAGCATGAAGACTGTATGTGTCTGTGTGTGTTTGGAAGAAGTGGGGGAGGAGAGCTTAAAATATGCTTCTTGGCTTCTTCTTGGTGACAAACTGGAACTGAAAGCACTGTGGAAGTCTAATTTACTTTCCCTTGTATGCACATGGTGTTTAGCCTTTGTGCTTCATGCACCTTGGCTAATGAAAACAGACTGACCAGCTTCTGTTCTTCCAGTTCCACATTTGAGCTTTCACAGTGAGTGATCTGGGCTGTAAGTGCAATGGGAGGTTGGGGAAATGACTTCTTTTTTTTTTCAGTGCATTGCACTGAGCTTTAAAGAAGATGATCTGCAAACATGAGTAACAACACTTCATACTGCAACGGCCTTGTGCATATGCAAACTGCTGGGTATGCAGCATAGGAGCACAATTAATCATTGCTAATTAGCATTATTCATGAAGAGCTGGGTCTGGCTCGCGGGCTGGCAGAAAGTGTGCCAAGTGGAGAGCAGGTGATGGTACCCCAAGCCAGATCCCGGTGCCACACACATGGCAGGATCTGTCTGCACTGCTAAGAAAGGACTCTGACTCACTGTCATGCTTCCCTCCTGTGCCTCCTGCACCTCCCACACTCACACAAGAGCATTACTGTCCCTCTCCTGCTCGTGGTGCTGTAGGAGGGACACATTTCTCCCACCAGAGGCTGTAGTGTTGTGTGGTCCATGAGGGATTGTTCCTCCTAAAGGCAAGTTCCCAGTCCCATGTTGCACATCTGGGAACAGGTATAATCATGGAGCATCACACTGGGCTGCCCTGCAGGACACTTAGTATGGTCCATGAACATCATCTATCCCTGCCAAGAATGCATAGAGCCCTTTTTATTCACCTGCATCATTTGAGATCCAACAACCACCAGTTTACCTGGGCTGACAGTATGGACTTCAGTGCCAGCAATAGGGAAGATGCTTCAGTAGCATGGCCCCCAAAATGGATCAGTGCCCAGGAGGATCAACTCCCTGATGAGAAATACCCAGTGCAGCTGACATCAAGCAGGAAAAGATCCAGGAATGTCTGTACCAGATCACATCAAAGGTCTGTCTGGCCCACTGCCCTGTCTCCTATGAGCGGCATCTTTTGTACTGCATTAGATGTGTCTAGGAGCATTCCCAAGCTTTGAGAGCAGCTGGCATGGGATCTCTGGAACAGTAAATTGTGTCTTTCAGATAGGCAGTTGGCCTCTTGTCATGGACAAAAGAGTGCCAGGGACCATCCTAGCAGGTTACTAGTACAGACGTCCCCATGCCAGGGAACATCACTGGGGACTGGTTATGGACATGACCTTTGTGGTTGGCAACGGATGCTGATGAAAAAGATTAAGAACAGGACAAGATGTACCCCCAAAGACCCTCTCAGGCCTCAGGAATATGCTGAGGCAGCTCCTGAGCCAGAAGGACTGCTGCTGTATCTAACAGCCATTTCTAAGGTTCTTTTTCCCTGGAATTTTCCCAATCACTTCTGCAAACTTCCAGCATCCAGAGTGTCCCAAAGGAGGAGTTCCACAGATTAACTATGAGGAAGAGCCCCAACAGGCAAAGCATGGTACCTGAAGCACTCAGCAGTTATGCAGCACTCTCTCAACAAGTGGCTCATTAGGAGCATCCTGAATTTCTTGTTGTTTTAAACTCTGTCCCTGCAGCAGCACAGAACAATTTACAATTCATGACCAGCTGACAGCCTTCCTCCTGGCCTGGCCTCACTCATAAATACTGTTACGTACTCATAGCGATGCTACCAGCCTCTGTACTCAGGACCAAGCAGCACATCTCTGCAGAAACTGGCCACAGAAAGATTGTGCCCTCCATCCCTCACTCTCACATGCAGGAATAAGACAAGGCAAGGCATCTTCCTCAAGAGCTCTTCAGGGAACTTGGCAGCCTGGCCAGAGGGTATCAAAGAGATAACTCCTTGAGACTGGGGTCAGACTGGCCAAGAGTTCTGTTCGACAGGTAAAATGGGAGTTTGCACTGCACAAGCAGAACAAGGAACCACTATAAGCTTGTTCCCCAAAATCTCCTCTGCTAACACAGGCACACAAAGGCACATATAATTTCTTTTTCAACCATGATTTTCTCCTTGAGGAGACAAAGAGGAATACTTGTCACAAAAGTTATTAAAATCAATTAATGCAAAGAAAACAGACCCCAAGAGATCACAGAATAGAGATGAGCCTGGTTTAGATCAAAACTTTGGACTTATAGAAAGAAGAGAGTGGGATAAAGGAGGGAATTCAACATGTAAGTCCAGAGAGAAATGCACATAGCTGTATTTGAAAGCTGGTAATGGAATTATAGGAGAATAAAATGCAATGACTAAATCAGGTCTTGCATTAAATGCTTTGGTAGCCAGGCATGACTAAGAACTAGAGATTGGTTTGTATGCAATTACCTTCCGATGTTTTATTTCTCCCAGAGGATAGTTTAAGTTTCCAATGAGTGGCTACTTCCCACTTCCTGTCACCAAAACACCCTGAGAACATTGACTCCATCCCCTCATTCCTTTGAATTATTGCCTCATTTTGGAGCTGAGAAAGTTCAACTAGAGGATTGCTCAGAATGACAGAGGAAGCTGATACTGAACTGTGATCCAAACCCAGGAGCTCCCTGGTGCTAGATGCATTGCAAGTAGCTGTCTGGGTAAGCTCCCCCTCTGTCAGCCTGTAGTAGTCACAAGAAAGTTGAACTTGACCTATTGTTCCAGCCAAATATGAAAATAAGCAAAGTAATGTCCTAGCAGAAATAAACACAAGTTTTCTTCTAATGCTATCCCGACTAGCGAGGACGTTATGTGTATTGTGGCAAATCAGGAAGCGAAACTCTCTCTAGAAGCAGATCTAACAGACCTACAACCAAAGAGCTTTGAAAACAGGCTCCACTTAAATTTCCAGTATGCAGTTAGTATCTTTTTCCTAAATAGCTACTAATCCTTTGTTTGCTTGCTGTATTTATAAGCACTGTTGTCATGTGCTTTGCTGACACGTTACAAATGCATCGTTACTCCCTCTCTAACCGCGCAATGCAGCGTCCCCCTGGAGCTCAAGGTCTGTGTGGCTGCTGTGGGCTAAGTGGAGGAAAGCACGCAGGGCACGGGGCAGCAGGAGGGCACGAGTGCACGGCAGGTACGTACTTTCTGCAGGAATGACACTCCCGGAGTCCTGGCTGGCCCCCACAAGGCTCACACTCAGCAGGGCAAGCACCGAGATGAGCGGGATGGCCACACGCATCAGGCTGCAGGCAGACGGCAGCGCCATGGCTCTCAGCAGTAATTCCAGCTATCTTCCCTGCCTGGAACGAGGAGAAACAGTGAAACTCAGCAGTTTGCTCCCCACAAAGAAGAGGATGAGATGCGGTAAGCACAGACCCGCACGCACACACAAACCCACACGCACGCATCACTGCAGCCGCACGCCACAGGCTTGGATGCACCCCAAGGACCGGATTGCCAAGTACCTGATCTTTGTCTTCACCTGTGTATCAGACCCTGGGAGCAGCTGAAGCGAGCAGGAGAGGCTCCAGCACCCCTCTGAGCATGCGTCCCCTCCGCATCCCCCCTTCCCTGATTAGGGTCATTGCCATGGAGATTTGCTATAGCAACACTGAAAAATTGGAGCTGCCAAGAGGAGAAGATTTAAAGAGACCACAGTGCCCCAGATAGCCTCTGCTGTACTCCTCCTCTGACTCTGCTCCTCAAAGGCCATGTCCTCTCCCTTTCAAACACTCGCTGCTGCCCATAAGAGAGTCTTAGGGAATTTTTGGGTTGCTTTTATTCCCAAAGGGGCTGTGTTGAAACACCCAGCTTCCATCCCTTGCTTTAGCTGCAACTCACTCAGAATGAGGTTTTTCTTTCTGGGAGGTTTCAAATAAGATGAAAACTCCAATGTTTGCTTGGAAAAATGAAGATGCAGGGCCTGCCGATGGCACCCTGCACTCTGGGGAAGACTCCATTAGCAGCTTCATTTAACTGCACTGAACACGGAGCCTGGTGGGAAACAGCAACATTGGCACAGGAACCAGCCAGGAGTATGGATCCTGCCCAGCTTCACACTAGGTAACCATGACCACAGCCCAGCCAAAACCCACACACTGCAGAAGTTTGAGGATGCTCTCTTCAAGCTCAGCTGTTGGCCTGGGACTTTGCTAATAGGCCGTGTCCTGCCCAGGCTCAAGCATGAGTCTTCCTGGATAGGGATCTCTGTAAGTATTTAGAAAGAGGAGGTGATACCTTTTGGAAAAGAGAGAGAAATGCTCTCAATACCTGTTTGCCCCAGAGCATGGTTAAAGACTCATCTTGCTATGTATCTGTCCCACTCGTGGCTCACGGGAGGACACTCTGCCTCCTCTCAGGAGGGAGCAGGCTCCATCCAGCCTTCCTGGTCTGTACAGAGGAATTAACCTGCTAGGCTGCTTCTACTTGACTTGTTCCCATGGCTTCCTCAGAATTACCTCTTACATCCCCCATTGCGATGCTTATGCTTCTGGGGCACGTTGGTTTAAAAGTTGTCTCAAAGAACTCCAGGCTCTTGACCAGTCTCTGGCAAAGTGGTATTACTTTATTCAAGACACAGAGGACTTTGCAGGGGGACAGCCCAGAGCTGTGGAAGCAATCCCTGCAAGAATGAGACACACTGAGCAAATTCTTAGCCCAAAGTGCAAGTGAAACTCTACTTTCCTTGTGTGGCAGGTCCAAATAAAGACCCCCAGTCAAAGGGTCTTCATAGGGTGACTGAGGGCACACACGTGCACCAAAATGGCTCCACTGACTTTATGAGAAGTTGAGACTCTTAAGCCAAGCTCTGAAGTTGGGTGCTCAAAGTGAGGTTGTGTTGTTGGCCCAGTTTAACATTGATCATCTCTTCACGGGTCCCAGATGCCTGTAAAAGGAGCAGCTCCTCAAGCACCAGGGTATAATGGAACAACATTGTACAGTTTGACTCATCTGGTCACATAGTCTAGCCCTGATCTGAAGCTTTAAATAACACCAAATGGAAATTCTGGCACAAAATCCAATCCTTACAATTCCATTCACCCTGGTATATGTGCTTCTTGCACATACCCCCATTATGGTCCCACCATACTTTTCAAACAGGAGCTTCAAGTAAAAGATAGAAAGGAATTGCCTGTAGATGCAATAACCTTTGATAAGGTGAAAAGCACTGTTTGTTCTCGTATTTTTTCAAGATATCAATATATTCTATTTCAAATTGTAACTTTTTTGTAATATATATTTCATCATTGCTTGGTGCTTTCAGTAGGTAGAACAGCAGTACAATCCACAGTGAGGGAAGGAATCTGACATCTCAAGGAGGAAGGGCAACCATAAAAGAAAGCAGAGGTGTTACCCATCCTAAACAACTGCAGAAAGTATAAAAGGGGATCAGAGAGCTTGGAAAAACTGCGAAATAAAGAGAAATGAAGGTCCTGAAATAAGTCATTCCCAGCATGCCAAGACTCCAAGGATGCCTACATATATCTTGTTATTAGGGTCTGTATACCACAGCAAAGTTTTGCATGGTTGTATATGCATCCAATAAAGCTTGTCTGTGAGAGGCTGGACTGTCTTTGTTTTGGTTTCTGACTGCTCAGTCACCCAATGTCCAGAATTAACAGTGTGATAACACCAGAGGAGTCCTTGCTGAATAGGCCCACTGCCACCCAGACAGTACAACAGCACGGAAGCTGCTCCCACTTGTGACAGTGGGGGGATCTGCAGTAGGGCACTCTCTATCCACCATCTAATGAGGTGGAAGGTGTCATTTCTGTGTTACAGCACATTACTTTAGCCTTTTTTTACTGGCTGGGTGCCAACATGAAACAATCAGACATTGCATTTGCAGAGTTGGGTCAGGTTTTGTGTCAAATTACATGGTCTTTAAGGAGCATAAGAAAAGTCCCCAGTTCCTGTTGCTAACAGAACTGTGTGGTCCAAGATGCAGTTCTCAGTTCACAGGGAAGAGGAGCCAGTCTGGATGGAAAAGTTCCATAAATCTGTGTTGTTCTATCACCTCCAGCAATGCTGAAGAAGACAGAAGCATGAAGCACTTGCGTGTCTTGCTTTCTATTACATCCACTGTTGCCTACCACTATGACTAAGGGATACCAGTACTAAATTCGCTTTGAAGGATGAGATTCATAGGAGTCCATTTGCTGGCTGAAGAATGTCACAGTGAAGCCCAGAGGGCTTTTGGCAATACATATACTTAATTTTTCTACAGAGAATCCATACCTAATTGTGAATTGCTAACAAAAGAATAGTTTCCTCCAAAATAATCAGAAACATTCAGTTATTTCTTTGGAAAATGATGAGTATGGAGAAACATCTGGTAGCTCCCTCTTACTGATGCCTATGTGTTACAGGTATTGAAGGTTACATCTTTGCAGTGGAGGAAGAAAATGCATATACCTAGTTAAAATCACTAACATTAAAGGTCTGAGTTAAATATGTGTGCATAAAAGGAAGGTGCAGGCAAAGGTTCTAATTTTAGAACTCTATTATTATAGTCATGGATACATATGGCAAAGAGGGTGGTTAATCCAAGCCTAATATGAAGTGCTAAATCACTGCCTGCTAACATGGCCAGAAGCCTTTTGTTAAACGCAAACAGAAAAAGAAAGCACAGAGACAGAAGAATCTGTGCCTGGTTACTATTACTTGAATAATAGAATGGCAAGAGAACACAGGCACAACCCCAGAAAGGCCAAGAAGCAAAACCAGATGCAAATAGTGAAAAACATGAAAAATAGCAAGAAAGCATTCCTTGAACACACAGGCAGTAAGGGAGACAAAAAACAAGTGAAGAGTTTGGTCTCTGTTCAGCAGACAGGGAAAGTTAATCAGGTTGATGCCTAGAAAGTGATACAGGACTTTGCATCTATTTTATCTACCAATCAAAATCAGGTGAACTCGTGAGCAGGAGGCAAACACAACTAACACCAGTGAACATGTCTTAGGTAAATTTGCCCGGTTACATGTCCTTGTAGGTGTGTGCAAAGTCACTTTTCTGTGTTTCAATCTGCCTACAGCTCTCTTTTTACTCAGGGCTATCACTAGACCTACCTCAGGACACCTAAATAAGAAACTAAAGCAACCACCATCAGCAATTATTGCTGAGAGCTCAGGGAAGATGTGAGTTATACCAGCCCTGGAAAAGGTTAAATGCAGTGACTGTCTTTAAAAGGAGGAAGAGAAACTGGAAAATAACACAGAGCAGTTTATGGTCAATCCCTGAGAATGTTTTAGAAGCAGTGATCCCACCAAGTTTCTAACTACTTGGAAAACAAGAACTGGAGTTGCACATAAGAGCTATTCTCCAACAATCAAGTCAAACCAGTTAAGCTTTCTTCTGTGACATGATAACAGGCCCTGCAGGTAGGGAAAGCCAAATTTAATCACCTTCAGGAAGATCTGACTCCATCCCTGACAGGGGTGTTGGAACTGGATGATCTCAAGGTCCTTTCCAACCCAAACCCTTACATGATTCTATGATTCTATGATTTCTATTGCTGCATCACACAACATTGTCAGAAACAGCTAAGGAAACTGCTCTGAGGCCAGCAAAACCAGCTGGGTCACTGCTGAGAGTTAGCAATGGGTCACTGTCCCCATGGAAAGATCTATCACATTAGGATTGCAGGGACACACTTAGTTCAAGTTATTTAATTATTCAGCATTTCATTAGTCGGCTTGATAATGAATAAGCAAATTGGTTGTTTAAGAAGAAACATCAGCCTGGTGGTTCTAAGCAAGGCTGGGGGAGAGGATTAGAATTGTAAATCATGCAGACAAGTTGGAAAAAGGGTCTAAAAACAGAATACAGTTTTATAAGGATGGGAACAAGGTGCTACACTTCATCAGGAGTCATCAACAGCTTGTATTTGGAACGAGGAACAGCAGGTTAAGTGGCACTTCTGTGGTGGAGCTAGGGAGTCATGAGCTGGAATAAGTCTACAATGATCTGTCGCTGCCAAAAAAGGGCAATTATGCAGGGTATACAAAATGAAGTGCAAGAGCTTAGACTGCCTCCAGCAGCAGGGCTGAGCTGTAGAACTGCATCTGGTCTGGCCAATGCAATAGTAGGTACTGGCAGAGGCACCAAGAGCAGCAGAAACAAGCAGAGGTGTAATTGCATCAAGGAGGCACCACCAAAGCCCCTGGAAAACTTCTTAATGATAGGGAGAGCATGGGGACAGATCATCTCTGGAAGACAGGGGGATATTTAATCCTGTAAGTATAAATTAGGCATCATTAGGAATGGCATTGGGATAGTTGGCCCTGCATAAAGCCAAGGGATGGGCTGGGTGATTTCTTCCTAGTTTCTCATGATTCTGCAATCACAAGAATCATTTTGCTTTCCAGACAGCCACTTCCCAGCTCTTGGTGCTGTAATTCCAACATAAACACAGACACCCCTGGGACATTGTGCTTGTGCAGCATCTGAAATCCAGGCTATTTCTCCTTCCCCAGTTATCAGGGCAAAGGCAATGTTTTCTCTGGTCTAAGCAAGTATGAGGGCTAGAGAACATTGCCATTTTAGGATGGATCACTGACAAAGCAATTCAGAGACATCTGGCTGCAGGGCAGATGACAGGGCCCACACCTTCTTAA